GCTGCCGCTGCTCGTCCGCGATCGCTTATTCGGAGGGCTTAGGCCCACCTTATTCACTGTTAGCCGTGAGATGACGGCCGTTCCCCTATCCGCGACCTGGGGACTGGAATCCAGTTAGGAAGCGAGCACAGCCTTGACACTTAGCGCAATGCCAACACCAGCAAATCTAAGAGCGTCGGACGCCCAATCGGCTGAAACAAACAGTGAAGCGTGAGGATGAGGTTGGATCTGGAGATCGCTTGGGGATAATTGAAGTAGAACCTTGTATGTCTTTGGGCGACACACGCAAGGATTTCAGCTAAGGTAGCTTGTTGACCGATCGGATAAAGTTTGCGGATGTTGAACTCGGTTAAGTGAAAAGGGAACTTTGGCTCTAACAATCCTATGGCTTCTAATTGGTTGATCTCACTGGTAAAACGCTGAGTAATATCCGATTAGTGGCGTAAACAGGAAACATCTGGAGTAATTGGGGAGTGACAGGTGGGACAGCTTTTCTAATGAGTGCCTAAAACTTTAGAACGGCGATATCCTTCAGGTAGCCGTTTGTTGAATTTTCTTAGGGAAGTGGAACGTGAATCGTAACTTTGTTTCAAAATCGAAGGAGAAAAGCATTTGGTAAGCTGAAGAAGTGACGTTCACCTCACTACAATCAGCAACAACTAATAGCTACAATAGTTGAATTTCCCTTCAGAATGTACTTAAAGGTCTTTTGGATTTTTCCTGCACAGCAGTTTCTTGACAGCAGTTCGCACGGAATTGGCAACACTAACAGGGCATTTTATCATTTGAACTATTTTTCATGGATTATCTTGATTGTATATAGATCATTAACTGTAAATGCCAACCAGTCGTGATGCATATTTCGTTATGTTCACACTAGGAAAACCCGTAACATTGCTGATGCAGCTAGTGATTCTGTGGGTAGCCAACTTCGCTTTCAACTAACTGAACACCACAGCTAAAGCGTCCTGATGGGGTTTGTACCTATTTTCCTCTCCAATTCGAATAGTATGAGCAACTGGTTTCTGTGATCGAGTAGTAGTCGGGTGGTCGCGCAGTGGTTTAGTCTTTGTCGCCGACGTGCGTTGGACCCTATGGTCCGGGGTTAGACCCCCGCCACCGCCACCCAACTTTGGTGGTAGGCAGCTTTGCTGTCGACCGGTTCATTACCACGCCTGACCCAGCGGTGCCTTATGATTTGCCACTTCAAGTCCCGGGGCTAAGGTTGCTAGTTATCATCACTGAACAGCGCGCATACACGACTAAGGCATTTGTCCTGTCTGTGGTTCATCACAGATTCGCTCGTCCTATGGACCTCGTTAAGGCGTGCAATAAAATAAGCTTGTCACGTTTTATCTTTTACGTTTAGTTGTTTCTATTCAGTTTTCAGATAGATTGATAATTCATTGACAATTAAAAGCAGCAACCAGTCATTTCTATTTTTGTTGTGGTTGTTGATTCATATACTGTAGTTATTTCTGCGCTCTAAATACCATATGCCTTTGACTCAGGAATCTTCTGTTGCACAATGCAGCATGGGGACTATCACATACGCGCGTTCCAACCGAATCCAGACCGGGACACGTGGCGATGTTAGGAGGATTTTACGAGGATGTAGCATCTATCACTAAAGGTCAGTTATTTTGCGAAGATAGAAAAGAATCAATCTATTAAATAGTAGAGGATCTGCCCATTGGAACCAAATGATTCGTTTATTCAAACTACTTTTGGGTAAAAACAACATTCCTGTGTTACTACTAGTGTGTGGCGTTTTTTTATTACACAAAAGTGAATATAATAAACCACAACCTAAGGATATACTGTAGGTGGGAAGATAAAAGGGGCATTCAAGCTCGAACCAACTTGTTAAATCTGCGTTTAAATATAACGATGTTGTACGTTGAAGAAAAGACTGAAAGGGGGAGAGTGTTCCACAGCTGTGCTTTTCTTGGGAAAAAAGATGATTGAAATTTAGGAATGCGACACTTGAAATAGGTGGCTAATCGCTTTTTCTCGGGATCTACGAGGAAGAAAAAACCAGAGAGGGACAAACGCGGAAAGTTCATCAGAGCAAAATTCAAAGTAGTATCGATAGAATAAGGAAAAAGAAGTGACTGCCCAACGATGAGCTAGTGCACGTTAGGGATGGGTCGTTGATGAGACGGATGGCCTCACGTTGAACCCGATCAAGAAGAGAAAGAAAGGTAGACAAAGCTCCACTCCATACATGACTGCAGTATTCAAGTGTAGGGTGAATCTGAGCTTTGTAAAGCGAGAGTAGATGAATGGAGGCGAAGAAACGTCTAGCGCCGATGAGGAAGCTAATTTTACGCGCAGTGCAGGAAAAAAGTAAATGTATATATTTAAGGTGACCATGAAAGAGAAGATGAGGAAAAACCCAATAGGCTGCATAATTCTGTGGAACGGAGAATGTTCGAGTTGAAATTCAATGAAGGGGGGAAAGATGCGTGCTTGAGAGAAATTGACACAAGGGAAGTTTTACTAGCATTGAACGGAATACGGTTGCGACAGCCCCCAAGCAAAGATAAGGCCCAGATCAGAATTGAGGAAGAACCTAAGCGGGAAGCGGTCGTCACTAATGCTAGAGTTAGTGATGCGCGAAGAGAAATAGAATAGAGTATAAAGTAAGGTCAAAGGCAAAGACATGAATAGGATTTGAAGTTGAAGAAATAAGGTCATCCATATCGATCAGAAAAAGGGAAGGGGAAAGTACAGAACCTTGGGGAACACCAATATTCAGAGGCACGGAACGAGACTTGGTCCCATCTACTGTGACGGAGGTGCTGCGGTACTTGAGATAGCATACTATCCAGGACACAAGTTCCGAAGGAAAGCCAAACTTCGGTAGTTTATCCAGCAAACCGGCGTGTCAGACACGATCGAAAGCTTTCAATATATCCAATGATATTGCATGGGTTTCCCCGTGGTTGTCGAGTGCCGCTGACCATGTATGCTAAATGAGTGCCGGAAGATCACCGGTAGGTCGATGG